GCACAGGCAGTGATTCCAAAGGTTGCTGTGAAGGGAAGGCCCCCTCCCTGGCTTTCCAATGCCAGGGCTTCGACTCGAGCAGGACGCAGTGAAGGGCAGGGCGTTGGTGTGCGGGTGAAAGCTGAGGAAAGCGAGGCCGAAGTGAGGGGATGCACATTTGGGGTCCCTGGTCTGTGTAGGCAAGATGGGATTAGGAGCCGAGAAGCCTGGGTACCCGCATGCCTGGGGTGCTTCCTGAGGAGGCCTCGGGGCCCTGTGGCTGGGGCTGGAGGAGCACTGGCCTCAGACCTGGAGGGTGGCACCCAGCCCATCCCCCATTCTTACTGTTACTCAGGCAGAGAAAGAAACCCTGACTGGAGCCTGGATGTGTCAGAGCCCACAGAACCTTTGGGAATGAAGGAAGCGATTGTGGGAATAAAACATGAAAGTGGGCACTCGAGGGGGCTGAGGGACTTGGTGTGTGGAGCTGGGGCCCGAACCCAGGACCTTGCCCTGCAAGGGGAACACCCTGGCCCCAGCCACACGCCCGGCCCCAGGCCCTGGGAGAGGACAGGCAGGATGGATGAGGGCATCAGCCACCCTGGAACCTGAGACGGAAGGAGAGGGAGACAGGGTCATGGTCAGCGCCCCAGCTAGGAGCCACCGTTCAGGGACATGTGTCGTAGCCAAGCCACCATGCCTGTGAGCATCGTGGTGTTAGGACGAGTGTCCACCTCCTAGGCTGGCTCAGCATGGTCTTGTGGTCAGAGTGGGGAGGCAGGAGTGGAGCTGGAGCTGTCAGAGTTCTCGGAGCAAGCAAGGAGAGGGAGGAGTTAAAGGCGGTGTCGGGAGGTGCTGGAAGGTCTGCCTGAAGCCAGGGAGACGCAGGCTGTCAGCATGGTGCCCTGCCGGCCAGGAGCTTCCTGAGGTGGCAGTGGCGGTCTCTGACTTGAGGCCTCCCTGGTGCGCCTGGCTGCCCTCCGCTCTGAGCCTGCACGAGGCAGCGCTCTGCAGGGTGCCCCATGGGGCCTGACCGTGAGCACCAGCACGGGTTCTCAGCTTCCCTTTCCCCAACCTTTAAATTATTCAAGTTGGAAAAGAAAAAGCTGCCTCAAGTGCTTTCCCCATACATCAGGCTGCCCCTTTTCTTTTCTTTCATTTATTTATTTGGAGATGGGCTCTCGCTATGTTACCAGCCTGGCCTTGAACTCTCAGGCTCTAGCAATCTTCCTGCCTCAGCCTCCCAAGCATCTGGGCCCATAGGCACGTGCCACCAGGCCCAGCAACCACGGTAGTTGCTTTGGACACAGCTCCACCGTTTACTACCTGAGCTGTAGAGTGAGCAGTTTGCTCAGCCTTGCAGCCCCTTGGCCTCAGGCTGTGGCAAAGGAGATAATGGGAGGTAGCCACATAGCAGTGTTGGGAGGATTAAATGAGGTGGTGCTGTGAAGGACTTAGCACACAGCACCTGACACCAAGGCCCCATTGCTCAGTGCCAGCCGTGTGCACTAACAATTATAGTTGCTTAGGCTTTCTTTCATTGGAGGGGCTCAAATAGCCCCTCCCTTCCTCGTGGAGAGGGTTAGTAATCAGGAAGCACTCTTGGAGAGTTATTTTGGAGACCCATCACCTGGGACTGACGCTGGCCCCTGTACCTGGTGCTGAAGTCTAGCGGGCTTGGTCTTCGGGCTGGGCACAGTGGTGCATGCTTGTAATTGCAGCTAATCAGGAAGCTGAGGCAGGAGGATCGGAAGTTCAAGGCCAGCCTGGGCAACTTAACAAGACGCTGTCTCAAAGTAAAAAAAGAGTTGGTGGATGTAGCTCAATGGTAGAGCTCTTGCCAAGCATATGTGAAGCCCTGGGATTGATCCCTACCATGAAAAAGCAAAAGCAAAAAGAAAAAGAAAGAAAGAAAGAAAAAAAGAAAAAGGCATGGTCTCAGGCATCCAGAACTTTATTATCTTGTTCTCCAGCTAGTGTGTGTAGTGTGGTGGGTTAGTGCCCGGGTGCTTTGGAAGCAACAAGCTCTGAGCAGTCCCTCCTCCCTGAGCACTTTGCGTAGGGCTCGCTGTCCTCCCTCATCAGGGTGACAGAACTTTAAGTCACCCGCAGGAGAAAGGGCACTGCATCCTGGGGTGCAGCAGGGACAGCGGAAGCCAGCATGGTTCAGACGCACCGGCTGGAGCCCTGAGAATCCACTCTCCGCTGCCGCCATGTTGGTCGCCATCTCTGACCCCCAAGCCTTGGGGTCTCCTGCTCTGGACTGCGGTGCAGACACAGCCCGAACACTGCTGCCCCCGCAGCTCCTCGACCCTCTCCACCCCTTCTCTCCTTGACTGCCCTCCAAGTAACCCAAGGAACACTGGCTGCTGGGTGGGCTGCCTCGGTGTCACCAGAACTGTACACAGCCATTTGATGGGAAGGGAGCTTTGTAAGTGAATTCTGCTGCTGCTGCTGCTGCAAGTACTAGAGCAGCTCAGACTGTTTCCGAGCCTGCAGGAGTGGCCACAGCGCAGCTTCAGTAGGGTCTCCAGCGGGAAGCAACCTCAGCCTTTCCCCGGGGTGTTGCCCACACCAGACAAACCATGTCTAAGAGCTCCAGTGTCTCTGCAGGGTGCAAGGCCCCGAGAGGCAGCCTGAGGTCCTTCCTTCCCCGGGCGCACCTGTGGCTCGTTCCCAAGTCCCGGGCCAGGTGCACCGAGGGTGGGCTGAGGTCCGTTGTCAGAGTCAGCTCTGACCTGAGACTGCGCCCTCGGCTCCGGGTAGTGGCCAGGTTTAGAGCTCCAGCCCTTGACGGGCTCAATGGGGACAGGGAGAGTATGGGAGGTGCCATGGCTGGGCCGGTTGCTCCGTTGTCCAGCCAGGCAGTGGAGGCCGGGAGGTCACCAGCCGTTACCATCCACACCCGCAGCACTGTCCTGAGCTTGCAGAAGTTCTGAGAAGACGTTTTTAAATGAAACCCCACTTTAATTTTTTTTAAATGGGAAATGTTGATGAGGCTAAGACCTGACACACATCTAATGGCCTCTTCTGTTTTGTTCCTTGTAGGAGAACTACCCCATTCCTGAACCCGGCCCACACGGTAGGTCCATCGGAGGCAGAACTGGGTTTTCCCGACTATGTATCTTGGAGACACTGTTCCCTACTCCTCTTTCCTACTCTTACTGCTGTTGCTTCCATTAAGAAACCAACAGGCGCTCCGGGACACTGGGGCCAGCAGATGGCAAACTCAAGCCCAGCTTGGGTAACTCAGTGACTTAGTGAGATCTTGTCTCAAAATAAAAAATTAAAAAAAGGGCTGAGGATGTAGCTCAGTGTGAAGGCTCTGGATTCTGTCCCTGGTATTTTGTTTTGAGACAGAGTCTCACTGTGTGGTTCAGAATGGCCTTGAACTCACTGTATAGCCCAGGCTGGCCTCAAACTGGAGGCAATCCTCCTGCCTCAGCCTCCGGAGTGCTGGATTACAGGTGTGCACTGTCATGGCTGGCATCAACCCCCAGGGTTGCTGAGCTGGCCCTCAGAGGTCTTGGTGGGGAAGGGCGGAGACCAACGGCAGAGCTGGCCCCCTTGTGCCCTGTGACTGTGCCACATTGGGGGCAAACACTGAAACCCACACACTGGAAAGCAGTGAGTCAGCAGAGCTTAATCTTTTTGTCAACACAGGGAGCATGGACAAGCACTTCCAGGAAGGCTGGGGCCTGCAGGTCGGGGTGGCCCAGGAGCGGGAGGGCCCCACAGGAGCCCTAATCAGCCAGGCCCGGAGTGGGGCACACAGCGGGCAAGGTGCCCAGCACCTCTGCCCCACTCCTGCAGGCCTCTCGGGCAGCAGGCGCCGGTCCTGGGTGGTGTCTGCGGCTGCCGAGCTCACGGCCCGGTGACCTGGGGCCGACCCTGTGCCCCGGAGCCCGCTTCTTCCTCTGCAGGGGCCGTGGGCTGAGGGTCTGCAGCTCGTCCGACCTGGCCACTCAGGGCCCCCTCCTGTACTCGGTGGCTTGGGCTGTGTCCCCCACCCGCAGCCCACACCCCAGCCCAGACTGCAGCCTCACATGAGCATCGGGGTGAAGACTCTGAGCTTTGCTGCTCAAGGTCAGTGCACTGTTGACTGACGGTGATAAGGCAAGACCCGCACTATCGCTGTGGAGAGGGAATGTGGATTCAGGGCCTACACACTGTGCCCGGGATATCGTCTTCAGGGAAGAGAGGAGGCAGCTCGTTGTGTCTTGAGCAGCTGCTGTCCATCCAGGGCTGTCCTGCAAAGGCCCCCTGGACTTGGAGAGATCCTAGGACTTCATCTCCTCCCATTGCCTGTCTCTTGCTGAGCTCGATTGGAAAGGGTAGGGGAGTGTAGCTCAAGAGCTTGGTGAAAATCCCGAAGAGTTAGTTTGGATTTTTGGGGGCAGCACTGAGCTCCATCCCAGCCCCGTTGTGTTTTATTTTGAGACAGGGTCTCAATAAGTTGCTAAATCGTCCAGGGTGTGTTTGACCTTGTGATTCTCCTGCCTCGGCCTCCTAGAGTGCCTGGATTACTGGTGTGCACCACCACATCCAGCGAAATATTATTTGTGGTGCTGGGATTGACCTGAGGGCCTCTACCACTAAAGCACAGCCACAGCCTTGTTTTCTTTTTAAATTTTACTTATTTCATTTTTTGTTGAGCATAATTGACAAAGTCATATATTTAAGGTGTACAACATCACGTTTTGAGATATACAATGCTGTGAAATGATTACTACAACCAAGCTATTCAGTGCCTCATGTACTTACAGCAGTTCTTAATTTACCCCACTTGGAAACATTTTACAATAGCACAAGCCAAAAAAATACTCTTTTTTTTTTGGTACTGGGGATTGAACTCAGGTCTTTGCGCTTGTGCAGCAGGCGGCGAAACCACTGACCTAAATCCCCGGCCCCCCCCAAAATACTCTTAAACAAAAGAAAAACGTGCTCAGCCTCCCTTGTCAGGCAGATTAAGAGAACACCATTCTAGACAGGTTCTTGATATTGCTACACATTAGCACATTTTCCAAATAAAAACTGGTGGTGCTGTATATGCTCTGCTGTAACCTGTTGACAGAGGGCAGTACACGCCTCAGGAAATTCAGTAAATTCATGATCTCTTACACCTGATCTTAGTCAAGAGACTCTTCCTTCCCCTTCTTCCCTTCCTCTTGTCTAATGTTAGGCTCCCCTGATTTTCCAGTCCCCTGTTTTAGATTCCACGTCTTAGGGAAGGCATCGAGCCAGATCTAGTCTCTGCCTGCAGATCGGCGGCTGCTGGAGAGAAAGTTCCAGGGCATTTGTCCTTGTTCAAGTGACTTTTCCCTGCCTTTGGCCTTTGCATTCACCCTGCTGTTCCTTACTCCGTTCACCAAAAGTAAGGACAAAGAAGGTTGTGCACGGCAGCACTGGACGTCACTAGCAGCTGTGAAGGTGCAGTGTGTGAGGCGTCTGAAAGCACAGCGGAGCTTCGGGGTGGGGGGGGCTTTGTCTTTCTGGGCACAGCTGTTTCAAGGTCAGAGAGACACTTGCTCGTGGTCATTTCTATCAGACGAAGCCGGTAACCCTTCAGCAGTTATTTCAGCGGACACGTTCAGAGGTAGCATAATTTTAAACTTGGAAACTTGACAGAAGCAATACCACCATCCAGACGTGGTGGCACATGCTTCTGATCCCAGCGATTAGGAGGCTGAGGCAGGAGGATCTTATCAAGTTTGAGGCCAGCGAGACCCTGTCTTAAACAAAAAACAAAAAAGCAGTCCCACCACATGTCCCTCAACTCAAGCCCTTGAGGGACTCGCCAGTTGAAATTTGGGGATGGTTTAAATGAAGCTGCACTTTTTAATAAACAGTGAACACAAAGAACCCCACATGAGAGGCCCCCCGCCGTGTGTTGCTGGGCTGAGATTCCACCCTGCTTGTTCTTAGAATAGATGACAAGCCAGCACAGCGCAGCAGTTTCTGGAATAGTTATCTCTGCAAGAAACAGTCTGTTCTCTTAAGTGGCTGGTACACTTCTTCCTTATATCTTGTTTACATCGTGATTGTGCGTGTTCTCTGGGCAATCAGAACACACGAGATACTTGTGCACGTGTAAGCATGTGTATATGGAGGGAGCCGGGGTGGGGAGGGAAGGGAAAGTTTGTTTTAAGGAACTAGTGCCAGTGATTGGGGGCACTGGAGATTTGAGCTTGGCAGGGCAGGGGAGGGCAGGGCAGTAGGCTGCAAACTCAGGCAGGGTTTCTATGTCACAGCCCTGAGAAGAACTCTTCCTGTAGGAAACTGTAGTCTTTGGTCTTAGGACCTTCTTCAACTGATTGGACAAGGCCGGCCCTGGTACTGGGGGTTACCTGGTCAGCTCAAAGTCTCCTGATGCTAACTGTACCCCCAAAATACCTTCACAGTACATCTAGACTGGTGTTTGACCAAACAAACGCAGCATACGCATGCATACACACACACACACACACACACACACACACACACACGGCTACTTTGCTCTGTGGGGCCCTTCCCTGCCTTCCTGGATAGAGTCGGGCTTGCTCTTTGGTTTCTTTTCCTCTCTGGTCACAATGTGCGCCTGACCCTGAGAGCCGCCCGGCCCTGCCCGCCCGTCCAGAGGGGAAGTGCTCATCCTCTGCTCTCTCCTCAGAGGTGCTGCTGCGGATGCACTCGGTCGGGATCTGCGGCTCCGATGTCCACTACTGGCAGCACGGTCGCATTGGGGATTTCATTGTGAAGAAGCCCATGGTGCTGGGGCATGAGGCTTCGGGGACAGTTGTGAAAGTGGGGTCATCGGTGAAGCACCTGAAGCCAGGTGAGCAGAGCTCTGGCGCTAACTGGCAGTGTGTGTGCACACAGACACGCGCTTGTGCGCTCACTGGGGAGGCCTTGCTAGGCATAGTGACAGCTTAGGAGGACAGGATGGGCTTGGGGATGGGCTGGCAGGAAGAGCCAGACCTCTAGCTCCCCAGCAGAGGGACAGCCTGTCGCTACCTGAAGGCAGTGAAGGGATAGGAAGCATTCAGGCACAGAAGCCACAAACCACATCTGCATGCTGAGAAGCAGGGGCTTAGATGCGGCCTTTGATTATGGATGGCTGGGGAACCACCTGTGCTGCTCCTAGGTCTGCTGACTTCTTTCTGCCGGGGAGGTGGACTGTGCTGTTTCCTGGCACAGAGTTAAACCCAGGCTGTCTTGGCACAGCCGGCTGTTGGCTCTGGCTTTGCTCTGCGAATGAGGCTGACGATGGCCTGGAGGTAATGTCAGATGGGAGGGGGGTGTGGGTTGGCAGGTGGCGCCGTCTTGTGTTAGTTACAAGCCTGTCTGAGCCCAGCTGCATGGCGAGGGTTGGTGAGCTCAGAAGTTAAATGTGTCTCAGCTTGGATTCCTAAAACGGGTAGGCGGGCAAAGTGGTGCCCACCTGCAATCCCAGCACTCTAGGAGGCTGAGGCAGGAGGATCCCAAGTGGGAGCCCAGCCTGGGCAACTTGGTGACTTAGTGAGACCTATCTCAAAATAAAAGATTAAAAAGGATGTAGCTCAGTGTGAAGATCCAGTGATCAGTCTCCAAAACCACACACACACACACACACAGCATGGCCTCCATTCATCATTCGTGGAAGCTGAGAAGGTTCCTGTGGGATTGCAGGGCTCTCCCACCGCCAAAGGCTCAGAGCTTTCAGTGACTGCCCATGACTGGTTCTTAGCTGGGGGCTCAGTTTCTGGATATAAATTACAACAGGGAGTGGGGCTCTTGAAGTATAAGTCCTAGTCAGTGTGTAGTCAGTCTTGTGCCAGGTGCTTTGAGAGCTGTAAAAAATGAAGATACCTCTGTGACCCTGGATGCTTAGGTCTGGGTGGGAAGAACAAGGCCCATCTGGGCAGGGCCTCGAAGGTCGGAGGGAGGATGCTGGCTGTGAGGGAGTGGTTAAAGGGTCGGTGGAGGGGACGGTTGTTGGAGCAGGCTTGTAACAATAACAGGAAGGCAGAGAAGACTGACATAGGTTGATTTGCTGTCCATTGTTCCGTGTGTAGTTAGACTCTTACTGTCAAAGCAGCTCTACGAGACAGGACTTGTTACCTTGGTTACTGGATGAAGCATTCCGAGCTTGGTTTCACCAAGGTCACACGTGTTTAGGGTCACAGCAGGAGGGCCAGGTCATGGTCCTGGCAGCTCTGGTTAGTAGAGAGGTCAGAAGCTGAGGCAGTTCTGAGGTCCTCTTTCCTGAGTGTCTTAGTTATGCTGTTCTGGCTGCCTCAGTGTTCTGAATCCATTCAAAACGTTTCCCTGTCATGGTCATTTTGACTGGGGAAGTGCCAGAAGTCACACAGTGCCAGATCCTGTGGGTAGGGTGGGTGAGGCCTCCGGGATGCTTTGTGAGCTGCCGTTCCCTTGGACAGCCCTCAGAGCAGCACTCACAGTATTTCTGGTCATGCGTCATGAAGACACGTCCGAAAGAGGGTTTGCAGACCTGCTTCAGAAAGTGGCACAGACAATGGGATGAGTGTGTTCAAAGCGGAGGTGAGTATTATCAGGGGCATTCCTGTCCTTTTCAGTGTGATAAACTTTAAAGTTTGAAGCATCTACCGTATGTTTTCAGCACGCCAACAGCCCCAGGACAGTGAGAACCCCTGCAAGGCCGCTCCATTTTCCACCGGCATGGAGCTCGAGACTGCGCAGGCTTGAGCAGCTTCCGGCTAGGCAGAACCTCTGCTGCCCCCAACCAGGGACGGGGTGGGAGGGCTGCTCCTACTTCTCCACCTTCTCTTCACTGCAGAAAAGGGTCACTTTGTCTTCGCCAACGCCTTTAACTTATCATGTTCCAGGGGAGATGTTCGCCAGATGCTCTGTGTCCCGTGGTTTCCCTTCCCTCGATTTACAGATTTTACGTTTAGCAATAAAAATGTGTTGAGCACAGCTTTTATTATGTGGGAATAAATGTGGAGCAGACAGCTCATCTCAAGGGACTGTCAGCCCAGGTGAGGAGGCAAGACTCATAAAAAAACCCCGAAGAGCCAAGCTGGGCCTGGCAGCCCACACCTGTAACCCCAGCACTTGAGAGGCTGAGGCAGAAGGATCGCTGAGAGTTTGAGGCCAGCCTGGGCTACAGAGTGAGTTCAAAGCCAGCCTGGACAATGTGTTGAGACCTTGTCTCAAAACAACAACAAATAAACAACAGCAACAAGGCTGGAAACCACTTGGTGACTAACAGGATGATGGTTAAGCTGTCTGTGGTAAACACACATCATATCATCATTTGGCCACAAAACAGAGCAAACTGGATAACACAGTGACTTGGGTCATCTGAGAAGCATGCTGATTGAAGGGGTGCAGAGGAGTACACACGGAGCGACCCCATTTCTGTGCTGCTCTGGATCAGGCGGTACTAATCCATGGTGGATAAAATCAATCTATTGGTTGCCCTGGGGTGGGGTGGGGATGACTGAGGAGGGACAGGAAGAGGGAATTTCTGAGGCAGTGGTAGTGATTTGTGTCAGGTTGGGGATTTTCATTACACAGGTGAATTTATTTGTAAAAATTAATGATCCATTTAATACATTCCATTATATCTAAATTTTAATTTTAAAAAGAAAAGTAAAGTAAATATTGGACTGTATTAAATGGATATGCAGGCTGAAGTTTTGTTTTGTTTCACTATATCCAGGTTGGCCAGGGCTGGGGATTTAGCTCAGTGGTTCTGCCTCTTGCCTCGAAAGCGCAAGGACCAGAGTTCAATCCCTGGTACCAAAAAAAAACAAAAAAGGGCTGGGGATGTAGCTCAGTGGTTCCGCCACCTGCCTCCAGGCTGGCCTTGAACTTGCCACATAGCCCAGGGTGGCCTCAAACTCACAGTTCTGCCTCAGCCTCCTGGATGCTGTGGGCTGAATTCAGTCTTTAGGGTGAAATGTGCCTCGGTCCGCATCCTACTTTGAAAGGCATTAGACAGTGAGAGGGGTCGATGGCAGGAGGAGGAACGGAGCTGGGAGGGTGCTGGGTGGACACAGTACCTCCAGCCGGGCTTGGCATTCCTTAAAGAATCTGGGGGTTCCCTGTACAACTCTTTGGGCTTTGGTGTGTGTCTGAAATTCTTCATTGAAAAAAGAGTAAAAAAAATTAAAGAGCGATTCTAGGGCTGCGTTTCCAAGCAGGGCAGAGTACGACACAGTGTGAGAGCGCAGGTCACAAGCGTCGAGTGTTTCTCTCCCCTGCACCATTCTGACCCTCGGCAGGACCTTGGCCTCGGTAGCTCTGCTAGCCTGGAATCGCTTCACTCCTACTTACTGTCTAAATGCAAACAGACTGAACCAAAAACAGGTCACGTTACAGCTCTTATCTTTATAATGATCTTGCCCTATATTTTCTTTTTTTTTTTTGGTACTGAGGATCAAACTCTGGACCTTACGCTTGGGAGCCGGAAAGCGGCACCACTGAGCTACATCCCCGGCCCCTTGCCCTGTATTTTCTTTTTCTTCTTCCTTTCTTTTTTTGAGACAGCTTCTTGCTATATAGTTCAGGTTGACCTGGATCTTACTATGTAGCCCAGATTGGCCTCAAATTCCTGGCGATTCTCCTGCCTCAGCCTCCCGATTGTTAGGATTACAAGTGTGCACTATCACAGCAAGCTCTCCTTGCCCCATAGTTTTGAAGTAGGTGGAGAAAAAATTCCCTGCACCCCCGTGTTCCAGCTGCCCCTTTGCCAGCAGCCTGAGATGGAGCTGGACCTGCTTGGCCTAAGATGGGGCCTTGTCTGTGTTGCCCAGGCTGGGCAGAGGCGGGGAGCCGGAGGAGCAAGCGGCAGGCACTGGGTGGGGCACGCGGTGCCCAGGGAGGGGCAGTGCGTAAGCGAGAGGTGCCTCTGCCATCTCCACCTCTGCTCCTGCTTCTAAGGCTGAGGACAGAGCCCGGCCCAGGGTCAGGCCCTGCCTGTCCTTGAACTCCAGGCCTCTTTGCTTCCCTCCAGGTGACCGCGTTGCCATTGAGCCTGGGGCCCCCCGAGAAACGGATGAATTCTGCAAGGTGGGGCGGTACAACCTGTCCCCGACCATCTTCTTTTGTGCTACGCCCCCTGACGACGGGAGCCTCTGCCGCTTCTACAAGCACAGCGCCAGCTTCTGCTACAAGTGGGTGCTGCCCCTGTCGGGTCTTCCTTCTAGTCTCCTGTGGGGATTCCTTCATTCAGTCAACCCTTAACTCTTTTGATGTTGTTATTGTTGTTATTGTTGTTGCTGAGACAGGGTCTCAGTATGTAGCCCAGGCTGGCCTTGACTCACTGTGATCTTCCTGCCTCAGCCTCCCAAGTGCTGGGATTACAGATATGCACCACCAAGCCCAGGTTTTTTGGTGTTCCTGTGCCAAGGAGAAGTCGGGGGCCATGGGAGGGGCCCTCAGAGCCAACCCAGGTCCCACGGGAAGCCCAGCTGTGCAGGGCAGTGTCAGGCACAGGTGGGGCCTGATGGGGGTCCTGTGCCGCTGGCCTGAAAGGGGTGGGCTGGAACGAGGGGCGGGCGCAGGGAGGCCAGGGCGCAGGGAGGCAGGGCTCAGGGAGGCAGGGCTCAGGGAGGCAGGGCTCAGGGAGGCCAGGTCGCAGGGAGGCCAGGGCGCAGGGAGGCCAGGGCTCAGGGAGGCCAGGGCGCAAGGAGGCAGGGCGCAGGGAGGCAGGGCACAGGGAGGCAGGGCGCAGGGAGGCCAGGGCGCAGGGAGGCAGGGCGCAGGGAGGCCAGGGCACAGGGAGGCAGGGCGCAGGGAGGCCAGGGCACAGGGAGGCAGGGCGCAGGGAGGCCAGGGCACAGGGAGGCAGGGCGCAGGGAGGCCAGGCCGCAGGGAGGCCAGGCCGCAGGGAGGCCAGGGCTCAGGGAGGCCAGGGCGCAGGGAGGCAGGGCGCAGGGAGGCCAGGGCTCAGGGAGGGCAGGGCGCAGGGAGGCCAGGGCGCAGGGAGGCCAGGGCGCAGGCTCCGGTTTATTATTCCGGCAGGGTAGGGAAGGAGTGCCTGGGCCCTGGGCTAAGAGTGAGCTTGGCCACCTGGTCCTTGCTCTCTGGATGCCAAGGGCTTCGCGTTGCTGTGTGGGGGTCTAGGCCCGGGCAGAGTGGGACCACAGGGCGCAGAGACAGCAGAGGCGCCAGGCCAAGGCTGCTGCTGCCCGGAGTGCGGGCTCTGCCTTGGGCAGAACCAGACCTCCGTTCCGGGCGTTGGGCGCCAAGGGTCGGGCACGGTGGGAAAGCGCTGTTGCCAGGGCTGTGGAGGCTGGGCCTGAGGCTGCCGGCCTGCCTGGCTAAGGAACTTTTCACTCGCTCGTGGCAGCGGCAGCGGCACCACACCTTAGCCCTGTTAGCACGGCACAGGCGCAGCGCTTGCCTAGCTTATTTGCGGTCCTGGGTTTGAGCCCTGGCACCGCAGGAAACAGAACAGAAAGCGCGGCCTGTGGGAAGCAGGCGGCCTGGCCCCTGACCGACTCTTGGAGCCCAGCAGTGTGGCGCCCGCCCTCGGGTGGCCTGTCCTCCATCCCACCAACCGCGTGCGACCCCGCAGGCTGCCCGACAGCGTCACCTTCGAGGAAGGGGCCCTGATCGAGCCGCTCTCCGTGGGGATCCACGCCTGCCGGCGTGGCGGAGTCTCCCTGGGGAACAAGGTCTTCGTGTGCGGAGCTGGTAAGAGGCAGGGGCAGCCGGTTATGGGTCATTGCCCGGAGTGTGGGCCCCGAGCCCCGTCTCAGTCCCTGCCCAGGCCTGGGTGGCTCTCCGGAACCAGCACTGTGCTGAAGGAATGGACCTCTGGATTTCCTGGGCAGCAACGCTCTGTGCGCTTGTGAACCGTGCCGTCACGTTTGCAGCCCTTGGCGGGAACTGGTAGCAAAGGGAGGGTGACTTCCGGACATTCGCATGGCACCCAGAGGAGGGGCCTGGCCCACCCACACGTGAGGGGGACCCTGCCCTGCCACCGTGAGCCAGGCCCACGCCACCCCCACACCCCAGAACGGCCCTGGGGTCTCACGCTGCACTATCTGGGCTTTTAATCTTGGGTGACCCAGACAGCAACACGCCCCAGATGTGTGTCACAACAAACCAGTGTCACCAGAGTGTGACCTGACCTGCAGACTCGGGGTGGGGGAGCGGGCGGCCTTCGGCGAGTTCTTGGGGACTTGAGGGATTTCCTTCGTCAGGACAAGGTAAGGGGCAGGTGGAGGGCTTCCCAAGTGGGCTGATGGGGCAGACCTTGCCTCTGTGGCCAGCGGAAAGCAGAATGGGGGACACATTGTCTTAAAAATCTGCACAAACAGCACCTTTTTGTCAAAGAAAAGATGAGCGTCACACACCTGCTCACATGCACACCCATGGAAACGTGGCCTCACTACTCAGCCCCAGAGCCACTGTTAATATGCTGCTGCAGAAGAAAAAAAATTTTTTTTGGTACCGAGGATTGAACTCAGGTCCTTCTGCTCTTGAGGCATGTGCCAGAACCACTGAGCTAAATCCCTGGCCCTTTTTTTTCCTTTTTTTTTTGTACTGGGGATTGAACTCAGGACCTTGTGCTTGCAAGGCAGACACGGTGCTACTAAGCTAAATCCCCAGCCCAGGAAAATGTTTTAAAGGAGACTAAATGCGATTCATCTTACCTACTCTTTTTAATTTTTTTAAGAAAATCAACATGCTGTGAATACTTCGCTATGTTAACAGATATGCCTAAGAATAACTTTCAGTAGCTGTGCAGTGTCCTGTTGTAATGTATATAACTAATCACACTTTGCTGCACATTTCAGGTATGATTTCCCAGTTCTTTTGCTTACAAAGTTGTTTTTAAAGGGTGTGTACAAAGAGAAACTAAAAGACCTTTTTTATTTACTCGCATTCCTGGGGATGGAACCCAGGGCCTTGGGTATGTTAGGCAGGCTTTCTACTATTGAGCTACACCCCGGCCCTTTTAAGGTTATTATTAAGTTGCCAAGTCTTATTAAGTTGCCAAGGCTGCCCGCAGGCTTGTGATCATCCTCCTTCAGCTTCCTGGGTAGCTGAAAGATACTCTTCATTGCCCCATTCTGTGGATCTGGGTTTTCTGTTCAGGCCTTGCAGGTACGGGCAGCCTGCACAGGAAGAATGCCAAGGTTGCGCACTGCTCAAACATCTCTGTCTCCTGTTTGTTCAGGGCCAGTGGGGCTGGTCACCTTGGTCGTGGCCAAAGCGATGGGCGCAGCAGCAGTGGTGGTGACTGGTAAGAAGGCCCTCTTCCTGGTGCACCACCTTGAGGGGACCAGGGCCCTGAGAGCTATTCCTTGCCTATAGGCCCATCCCCTGTCTGCGTTTGTCCATTTTCTGTTGCTGTCACAAAGTGCCGGAGGCAGGTGGTTTTCAGACAAGGGGTTCAGCCAGGTCACCCTTCTGGGGGTGAGTCAGGTGGCCCTGTCAGTTCGGGCCCAGGTGAGGGCTGTGGCAATGTGTCGGGGTGGCAGGGACCTGGGCAGAAGGGACCACTCGGGAAGACCAGGGGTGGAGGCTCGGGAGAGCCAAGTCAATCTTCGGGACCGGCATGCGTCCCTTCTGAGGACAGTGCCCCAGGAACCCAGCCGCCTGGCCCCGGGCCCCACCTCACAACTGCTTCCCCAGGGACCAGGCCTCTAGCACGGGAGCCTTAGGGGACGAACCACCTACAGGCTGCAGCACTTCCTGAGAGCCTGGGTTTCTTTTTTGAGACAGTCTCACTATGCAGTTCAGGCTGGGCTTGAACTCACAGCGATCCTCCTGCCTCAGCTTCCTGAGTGTGAGATGACAGGCCTGTGCCACCATGGCCAACTTGTTGAGAGAGTCTGGGGTTCTCAGGGGCTCCCCTTTCTCCATTATCCTGGGTGATAGTACTGAAAAGCCCACCTACGGGTGACCTGGGGCTTGGGATGAGGCTCTTTGCCCGCTGTGGGAGGAGGCTTCGGCCCTTTCTGTGAGGACCCTGCCCTGGGAGGAGGCCCAGCTCAGGAGGGTGCATTTGTGTGTGAGACTGGAGAGCCAATGCGCAGATGCACTGGGAGGGGCGGCCAGGCCTGCCCCTGGGGTGGGCACAGAGAGAGAGGAAGCTGCATCCTCGCTTTCTTTTCTTCCCGATCCATCTTCTTCCTCAGTCTGAAAGAAACTCTCTCACTTCTAGATCTGTCCGCCTCTCGGCTGTCCAAAGCCAAGGAAGTGGGGGCAGACTTCATCCTCCAGATCTCCCAGGAGAGCCCCCAGGAAATCGCCCGCAAGGTGGAAGGGCTGCTGGGGTGCAAGCCAGAAGTCACCATCGAGTGCACCGGGGCCGAGAGCGCCACCCAGGCGGGCATCTACGTGAGTGGTCGAAGGGGGCGGAGGGCACCCAGGAGCGCTCCTGGCACCTCCCTGCGTCACCCTGACGGGTCCGCCTGGTAACCGGACAGCCCGAGTGTCCCAGCCCACACCCTCAGGGTGGGGCGGCTTTCGAGATGCTGTCTGTGGCTGAAAGCAGGGGGTTTGGTGAAGCGCTCAGCAAGAGGAACCGGAACCAGGACTTGGGAAGTTGGGGGGAACCCCTGTGGGGTGTTATTGAGAAAAACTTGATACGAAGTGACAGCTACTAATTCAGTTAGTCACAAAGGGGAGGTGACTTTTCAGGGCTGCGCTTGGCCACTGCTGTGGCCTCTCCCAGAATGAGGCACAGATGAGCCGCCCTCCCCTGCCCACCCTGGCCCTCGGGTGCCACCCCGCTGGCTATTTATGGGAAGTGGACAGGGGGCTGGGGCGGGGTGGGGAGCAGCATCAGGCTGCACCAGGCCCTCTGCTGGGGACCCCAGGACTCAAAGCCTAAGGTACCCAGAAGCCCTGCAGAGCAGTCACTGGTTGAGAGCCTGGGGGCTTCAGGTGCTTTCTATCAGTGGCTGCGTCAGGTTCCCGCCCAGCCCTGCCTGTTCCCATGGCCAGAGCACGCGTGAGGCACCAGTAGGGACATCCCACCATCCTTGTCACCATGCGGGGCGTGCGGGGCTTCCGCCTTCCTTCTGAGTCATAGCGTCTCACACAGTGAGCCACCAGGTGGCATGTGACACTGTCCGTCCACTGGGGCATGGCCTCCTGGCCCTTCCCCACCCAGCATGGCGGGAGAGGAGGGAGGAGCAGGTGCCCTATGCCCTGTGCTGTCAGCTGCTGTCCCTGCTCACTGTCAGAGACCGTGGTCACCAGGTGGGAAACAGAAACTGAGAGTCGGGGTCATGGGTCTGTGATGTCCTTGGGGTGTCCTGGGCACCTGCTGGGTGCCAGCTTTGTAGGAGACACCTCAAGGCTATGACAAGAAGCCGGCCATGTCCTCATCATCATGCTGTTGTTTGGCACATGACCCGCGCTCCACAGAGGCTGAGGGACCCAGAGGACCCGGCTTCCTCCTCTTGAGTCCTGCCCTGAGTGCATCTGGGAACAGATGCCATTTCCTGAAGGGCTTGGGGATGTGGCCTGGGCTCCTGAGGGACTGACTGTGACCCCTGGCTGTGGGGAGTGGGGTCACCAGGCAGGGGCAGGTCTGGCAGTGACGCCCAACGCGGACAGGTGAGAGCGTTGCTTTTCTGCCTGGTGACGACCAGCGGTGTTGACGAGGCCCCGATGTCGCCTCCTTGGTGTGGAGGTGCCACTGTGCACCAGGACCAGGCCATCTGAGCCTCCCCTGGCCCGGGGTCTGCCCTGCCTGGCCCCTGGCACTCGCAGCAGCCAGCAGGTGGCAGGACCCCTCGTCACCAGGCAGGGGAGCTGCGGGGCCCAAAGACTTGCCCAGAACATTTCTCAGTCAGGGTTTTGAGGCTCACTCCTGGCATCAGCCCCTCTCTCCTGTCTCCCAGTGGGGACAGCAACATTTTCCCATCGTAGTGCTGTTCCCAGATGGTTTGCAAGTCAGTCTGCACTGCAGTAAAGCATAAAACAGCTGCACGTGGAGCCTGGTGACTGTCACACGTGAGCAGGGCTCCTCTCTCCCTCGAGCCCCGAGCTCTGCCGCCTGCTCCAGCCCTGCAGGTCTCTCTGGGGTGTCACCTTCTCCCCAGGGCCATTAGCTGGGCCACATGCCCTTCTCCAGCCCCTGTTTAGCTCGTAGTGTCCCCGCCCATGCAGTCACTTGTGCCAAGGCAACTCAGTGTGAGTGCACTGCCCATTTTTCCCATCTCTCACAGCATTGAACACAGGCTCCGTGCAGGCTCCGGGGCAGGCCCTGTGTCCACCTGCAGTCAGCTGGAATTCTGCCACCTATGGCCACTCCAAGCTGAGATCACTGGAGGCTGTAACTCCATGCTCTTAGCACTGGTTTTCCAGATAAATGTTCAAAGAAGATGCTTTCACTGTGGAGGCTAGGATGGGATGAACACCTGGAACAAAATATTTCTGCCAGCCTGCATGTATGCAACCGTTATTAAACCACAGAATTCCAAAAGTCCAGCCGGCTATGGTGGTGCACCCCTGTAATGGCAGCACTTGAGAGGCTGAGGCAGGAGGATCTCTGTGAGTTATAGGCCAGCCTGGCCTAGGCTACATAGTGAGTTCAAGGCCAGCCTGGACTACATAACAAGACCTCATCTTAATAAAATAAAATTAAAAAAAAAGAAAAAATTCTCAAAGTCCGTTTGTAGGGTGATCTTGGAGAGTCTGACCAAAGTTCTGCCTGGTGGGAGGAGCAGGTGCCAGGACACATAAGGGGCTCACACCAGTCCCAAGATGCACCCCGCGCCTGGCTCCCCATCGGCAGGTGCCCCATGGGAGAATCTGTAAAGAGCCTGTGGACCGCTCGACCTTCTGTTGAGTTGTTTGGTGCGTTAGCGAGTCCAGCAGTGTAGCCAGAATTGGATTCTTGGGAAATTTTGGATACTCGCCCCAAGCGTTGAGACGCCCTCTGCAGGGCCATGGTGCGCTGGTGCTTTCTCACCTTCTGATGAGCTTCTCGTCTTCCTCTTCAGGCCACTCGCTCTGGGGGCACCCTGGTGCTCGTGGGGCTGGGCGCCCAGATGACCAACGTGCCCCTGGTGCATGCAGCCATCCGCGAGGTGGACATCAAGGGCGTGTTTCGATACTGCAACACGTGAGTATGCCTGGTGAGCCGGATGGCTGAGCGACCTGTGTCTCAGCCTGTTTGCTCAGGGTCACTCCCTGACCATACCGACAGCCTCTTGATATGATAGGGACCCAGGCAGAACATGCCCTTCCCGGGCAGAGGGGCGGCACAGGGAGGGATTCTGCACACGATCTCCTGGGTCCCTGCCACTGTCCCCTGGGCCAGAAGTGACCAGACCTCCGTTCTCACCCTTTAAAGGGAGGAAGGAGGGGAAAGAGGAGAAGCAGAAATCCAGGTCCATTCCTCCCATTCCTGAGCCCAAGCCCATCCTGGGCAACAAGAACGTCTTAATTCAACCCGCTCCTGTTGTGCAGCTCCATGCTGTCCCTGCTCGGACGCTCTTTCTGGGACACTCCTGCAGAAGTGTCCTTTGAGAGCCTGTCACCCCATGGCCTTAGCAGAGTGCCAGTTTCCTAACCATGGGCACAGCTCGGCTGCCTCCTGAGCCTCCTGCCTTTCCCAAGGCCTCCATGGTTCACCCTGTGTTTTGATGCCAAAGCAATGCAAGGCTTCACAGGAGACGCTGAAAAAGGAGGGATGGGAGGGGCAAGCAGTTGGAAACAGTCGCTGCAAGGTGTGATCTATGGCGAATGTTTACATATAAAAAAACTTCTATTACAGTAAGAGAAACATGAGCCTGGGGTTTAGCTCAGTGGTTACAGTGCCTGCGGTGCAAACGCAAGGTCTCAAGTTTGATCCCCAGTACCAAAAAAATACAGTAAGAGACACATGCCATGGGTCCCCCTCAAACTCCTGCCCTTCACTTTGATCACACTCATCCCATCATCCTTGCCACTTTCTGCAGCACCTCTGGAGTCCTCTTTCCAGAATGTCTTTATTTGCACTGTTGCAGCTGCTTCAGGGTCCTGAATCAGTTCAAAACATCTCCCTTTCATGACCATTTCCCCACTGGGGAAGAGCCCATGTTGCATGGTAGCAGATCCCCCAAAAAGGTAAGTGAAGACACAGCGTGATGCTTTGTGAGCTGCCTTTCCATTGGATGGGGCTCAGCAGCAGCATTCACTGTATTTTTGATCACATCTTATAAAGACACCGAGGAAAGGGGACTTCCAGAACTGCCTCAGGAAGTGGCAAGAACAGTGGGATAGTGTGTTCAAAGTGAGGGGGGAGTATTTTGAGGGGGACACATGAAAGTGTGTCTTTTACCACAACAAGTTTTTAAAATATAAGCATCACTGTGTTTTGATCACACTTTGTATGTCTGCAAATAGCAAGCCAATAGGTCAGTTTCTCTATCCTTGGTCTATAAAATTGGTCTTGTGGAGGCACAGTGCTAAAAATGAGCATGGCCACACTGTTGTTGTGCCAGGGACCTGACTGTCTTCCTGAGGGCTGATGCAGTGTTGTGATCTTTTACAGGTGGCCAATGGCAATTTCCATGCTTGAGTCCAAGTCTGTGAATATAAAGCCCTTAGTCACCCATCGCTTTCCTCTGGAGAAGGCTCTGGAGGCCTTTGAAACATCCAGAAAGGGAGTGGGGTTGAAAGTCATGCTCAAGTGCGACCCCAACGACCAGAATCCCTGATGCGAGTCGGGCTGCACCTCACCCCACCTCCTCACGACATCTCAGGGCTCAGCAGTTGGGCAGAAGCCATCTCCAGGTGAAGCCGACCTTCTCTTGGAACAGGATGAACAGTACCACAGGGCTGGGTGGTGACTCAGGCTTGGTGCTTGCTTAGCAGGGGTTCCTCCCTAGTCCTAGCGAAAAATAAAAAAATTAAAAATAAGTAAAAATGTCAATAACAAATATAATCCATCACCACAGAGAACCTTACAGAACCTTACAGAGGAGTGGGCGTGCCTCAAAGACACAAGCAGTTTGCGGCTGGGGGCCAGAAAGCCCTGGTCTTGTCAAGCCAGGGTCAACAGTGGTGGCAGAGCATGGCTGTGAGGTGCTGGGTCCCCTCTGCCTGGGGTGCTTCGGGTTCCCCCCTGTTCCCATCTCGGCTGAGTAATAAAGAGACAGATCACCAGCATCTGGGGTGAGGTGTCAGCAGGCGTAGTCATAGCACACTGCTCTAGACAATAAAAGAGAATAAGAAAAGGGCCTAACTCCTGGGCCTAGGATAGCCTTTAGCTCGATCAGAAGACTCAAACCTAAATCCTGCGTGGGGTCAAATCAGTTTGCATCCCCGAAATCCGAGGGCCCTTCTGAGCCCACTTGAAGGTGGCCTCTTCAACTCCTGGAAATCCCTTCCTTCCCAGGATGTCTCAGCCCCTCAGGATAAGGTCCCCTTTGCTAGGCAACCGGAAGACTTCCGCCTGAGGACAGTGGCAGGGAGACCTGAGGGTTTCCTCAACTCTGGTCACCCCACAGAATTAGCACCCTGCAGGGGCCAGTTAGTGAGCACTGTCAGGCAGTTCTACTCCATCCTGGTTACTGGAAACAGAAGACTTTCCCCTTCTCTACTCCAGTTAAGGCTCTTAGTCACTGGGCGTAGTGCACCTATAATCTCAGCAACTCGGGAGGCTGAGGCAGGAGATTTGCAAGTTCAAGGGCAGCCAGGGGAAACAGCATCATTCTATCTCAAATTTTTAAAAAGGGCAGGGCTATAGCTGAGTTGTGGAGTGTCCTGGCTTCTTTTTTGCTTTGCTTTTCTTTTGAGACAGGGTCTCCCTGTGTAGTTCAGATTGGCCTTGAACTCATTGTGTAGCCCAGGCTGGCCTGGAACTCATGGTGATCCTCCTGGCTCAGCCTCCTGAGTACTGGGATTACAGGTGTGGCCACCACACCCTGCTGTGCGGAAGGTTCTTGCACAAGAAAAAAAGGAAAGGCTCTTGGTACTTTGCTGTCTCTTGGAAAAGAGGTCTCTGACCTTGTCTTCTATTAATCATGAGGTTTTTCTGTGTAAGATTTGGATCTAGATCACAGCACAGCCTTTGTGGTTTTGAGGTTTGAATCAAGAATAAGGGTGGTGTAGTAGCTGCCATATAACTCGTCCTCAACCCCTCACTGGAGCTGGGGGTGGCAGGTGCGAGTGTTTGTCACATGCGGCAGGCCTGGCAGGTGCCCAGAGTTCCTCCAGCTGCTGGGTCATAGATCACATCACGCCTGGGACTCATGCTGCCGAGTCTGCCTGTCTAAGGAGCAGTGGACTCCGCCTGCCTGGGTCATGGAGGGAAGAATACCAGGACTTCAGCCGGGGACACATGCTCTGGGCTAAATCGAATTGCATTGACTGCTGGAAGTTTCGCACCAGTCCTCTCTAACCCTCACAGCAGGCCAATTACCTGATAGTTATTTTGCAGGTAATAACATGGAAATAAAGGGATTTGGCCAAGATCTCTTGCTGGCTGCATTTCTCCTCTCGCTGGGTGAAGGAGGAGGACGCCCTGAGGCTTTGGTTCACGAGGCCCAGCTCCCTTCATCCGGCTTAGTTAGGGCCTCACTTGCTACTTGACAGCCCTCAAATTCTCCTTCCACCAGGTGTGGTGGCACACGCCTGTGATCTCAGCACTCTGGGAGGCTGAGGCAGGAGGATTGCAAGTTCCAGCCCAGCTTGGGCAACTTAGTGACTTAGTGAGACCCTGTCTCAAAAAAGTTCTTTTAAAGGTGGGGATGTAGTTCAGTGCAGAGGTCCTGGGTTCAATCCCCAGTACTTAAAAAAAACAAACAACGAAAACCCTTCTTCTAGCTCAATGGTGCCCAAGATAGCTTTAAGTGGAATGAGAAAGGCCTCCTTCTAGATGGAAGATGCCTGACAGGAACACTCTAGTGAAGGGGGGATTTCACTGTGTGAAGTCCACAAGGAGCTGCTGTCCTGATTGTGGCAGGATGGAAGGAGCCACTGAATGGAAGAGGCTCTGGGAGCTGCAGAAGGGATGGTAGGAAAGGAAGGGCCACCAGGACGACGACATCACTTTCTCACAGCTGGCCTGGACTTGCTCTTCTGAGCCAGTCTTGGTGCCGCCAGTTTCCAGCCCTGCGGCGGCTCTGTGCTTGGCATGAGCAGAGGCCCATGGAAAGCAGCAATGGGGAGAGGGTCTTCCCACTCCAACCTCGCCCCCTCCCCAAGCTCCCAACCTGCTGCTTCCCAGGAGAGGGAGGCTGTACAGGGTGGAGAGGCCCTGGCTGCTCTGGGGACCCCTCTGCACCCCAACCCAGACGCTCCCCCACCTTGGAAGGGGCTGCAGCAAGCCCAGGAGTTCACTGCTCTCCACCAACCCACAATGTGCTCCATCAGTGTTGACTGAATCAGTGCCGGAACCACCAATAGGAATTTCCTGTCTGGTCCCCAGTGGGAGCCCTGGTGGCCTCTGTGTGCTCTGTCACCAGTGTCTGGCACCAGCTACCTTTCAGTCAACACAGAGGACTCCACCCTGGTGGCACTCCCAGCCTGTGGGGGGGTGGGGTGCGGGCCTGAGTGCTGGGGGAGGGACCCACAGCCACCGAGGGGGCGCACGGACTCCCAAGCCGAGGGGCCTGTGCCTCCTCCCGTCCACAGCGCTGTGGCTGAGGCCCCTCCTGGGCTCCGTCCTGCTTCTCCGGCCATCTCCCTCCTGCTTTCTGTTTTGCACAAAGGAGGCCTGCTGGGCACTGCTGGGGCCAGAGGTCAGGAGCCGGGGGGGGGGGTCAGGATGTGCTGGGGAGCTGCCCTGCTCCTGTGTGCCATGTCAGTTGAGGCTCAGGGCTCAGAGTCCGAACGACGAGAAACTGCCCGTCTAGGCTTGGGCTGGGCTGGGCTGCAGACAGCGAGGCCTGGTCAGGCCCTCATCCCGGGGGGCAGGCAGGTCTCCATCGTCCCCTTCCACCCTCCCATCCTCCCAGGTCTTCATGGGCTTGGGGAGGAGCAGGGTGCAGGTGCCTTCCAGACATCAGTACTTTTGCTGGGGTATAGCCATTGCCATAGTAACGCTGCCTGGCAATGCTCTGCAGCTCTGTCCCTCACTTTGCCTCCCTCTCCCCTGGAATCCTGGCTGAGCAAGAAACTGAGCTCCTCCCCTGGGCCCTGAAAGAGGGCACCAGGGTGCAGATGGTGGCTGCCTCTGGCGAGAGTCTGCCCAGTGCACATTCCAGGGGGTAGGAGCTTCGTTTGGGGACAGGGCAGGGAGCAGCATTTGTCCCCCTGTCTCAGGCCTGTCCAGCCTCTGGGAGGCCACATGTCGTAGAGGATCTGACCCAAGCATTCCTGGCTTACATCTAAGCCTGCACCAACCACTTCCTCACACTGAGATGGAAGCTAATTGAAGGCCACAATCCAGTCTGGAGGTCTGTCCCCGTCACCCAGTCACTCAGAAGCCCTGGGTGCTGAGGACCCTTGGATGCATCCCTCAGGGTTGACTGTGAGGGGTGGAGCCCCATCTGTGTAGGAAGGGAAACACCGGTATTCCGGGGTCCCCTGTTCTGCTTCTCCGCCTCAGGCATGGTCGTGCACAGCACAGAGAGAGGTGAGACATGGATGGGGCTCACCCTGCCCAGGGCTGGATCACCGAGGAGCAGGGTCTGGCCTGGAAGGCTCAGGACGGGGCCCTCGGTCCCTCGTGAGGAGGGGGCTGCAGAGAGAAGGTGGGGAGCCCTGCTCTGGGCCCAGCACCCTGAGGCACGGTGGGGAGCTGCTCCTCAGGGCCTTCCCCACTCCTGTGGGCCTGCGTCCGAATCCTCCCCGGTGGCAGCCCCAAGAGGCTCTGCGAATCAGCTGTTTGCTGTTCCCCGGGTCCCCATGAGATAGCAAAGTCTGTTGTCATGCACTGAAAGAAAATAAACAGAGGCTGATAAAGTGGAAAGGAGGGTCAGCGTGATCATTCCCCAGGATGCTGAGATGTCAAGGTGCTTTCCTCCAGCTCTGCCCACATCTCTGTAAAGCTCGTACACTGACTTACAAAACAATGGAAATGTACTTTACCTACTTCTTTCATTTTCACCTAAGAACGTAAAAAAAAATCATGACTATTAAATAATTCCCATTATTAAACCAAATAAAATTAATAATTCCTTCATATCATCTAATAACCAATCAATTTTCCCCAATGGCATAAAAAAATTTACCTTTTTACACTTGGTTTGCTGAAATTGAGATCTAAACAGCTAGGCATGGTGGTGCACACCTACAATCCCAGCATTTGGGAGGCTGAGGCAGGAGGATTGCTGTGAGTTCAAGGCCAGCCTGAACTACATAGCAAGACCCTGTCTCAAAAACCAAAAAAAAAAAGTCTAAACAAATACCTTGCATGTGGTTAATGTGACTCCTTTAATCTATGATAGTTCTTTTGTCCATTGGTTTAAACGTCATTATTATGTTGAAGAAATGGTGTCCTTTGTCCAACTTTATGTACTGTTTTGTAAACATGCCTGCTTTAATTTATAAATGCTAAATTTCTGTGTCTACAGTTGCCATCATTTGTAAATCACACTCTCATTTTAAATCACCACATCCCATTGTATGGATATACTATCATTTATAAGGCCAATCATACTATGTTGGGCATTTGGATAGTTTATAGGGTTTTGCTCTTATGATAAAGTTGTGAAGACAATCCTTGTCTATACATTTTTTGTGCTGACTTATTTCCTGATGTTATGTTTTAGAATGAAACTAGCTGGGTTGAAGAGTACACACGTTCTATTTATTTATGTATTCTTGTATTTATGTATTTATTTATTTATTTTGGTGGGTCCAGGGCATGAACCCAGAGCCACACACATGCTAGGCAAGCACTCTAGCACTGAGTCACGCCCTAGCTGTGAGCATACACAGTCTAAATATGACCTGACTAGACAATAACACAAGGTATTG